GCAGGTGACAAGGCTGGACCCCTCCAGCCAGAGTTCCCCAAACTTCCCATTTCAGAGCACCCAGGAAGCCCTGGAGACCTGTCCTCTTCCAAAGCCTTTTGTGGCCGAGGGTCTTCCAGGCAGCACAGGCCTCCAGTCTCCTCTTACTCACCTTCTGCTCCTTGTACTTAGCATAGTCCTTGGCGTACCTCTTTAACAGCTCCTCCTTGAGCTCTTCAGCTCGGGGGAAGGCTACTTCTTTCAGTTTCTGAAGGGAGGAAACAGTTGTAAGAGCGTGAGAGCCCCAAGGCAAGAGAAAGGAGACCTGAAGGGATGCAAGAACCACTAAATGTGTGGCCCCTAGAGATTACAAACCATCCGATTACTCACGAGCGGCCTCCAAGGATGCCCCAGCAAACCCCTCGAGTCTCGCCACACTGAGCATCCCGCCACCACGCATGGAAAAACCACGTGGTCTTTACTAAGCAGCGATTTTAACAGGAAAAAAAGGACATCCCAGTGCTCGACGGAGAGGAAATTGGACAACTGCAGCTGGCCCAGCGTGTGTACAAAGGGGAAAAAACACCCCAAACCACGACTCCCAAGGGGTCAGGACTGCCTGGTCCAGCCTTTGCGTGGATCACTCATCTCAGAGCCACGAAAACCCAAAACCCGTGACCCCAAAACATTAAAAACTAGGCAACGGTGCTACTTACTTTCACCGTCTCCCTCTTCTCGGGTATGACGGCAGTTTTGTAATCCCGGTGCTGCGGCAGCTTCTCAATGAAGAGCCTGTAAACACAGGAGAGAAACCACAGCTCTGAATCACAGCTGAGAGGGACAAACGATGCTGTGAGGAGCATTTCGGGGTATGGATCATCCCCCTCCAGCACTGTCCCCTTGCTCCGCCACCTCCCTGAGCCCCGTGGCCCCCACACTCAGGACAGTCGCCTGCCCTTCTGCAGGAAACTCTCCACGGCACACAGGAGACCTCGCTCAGACCCAGGGGAGCACCTCGCACAGGAGGTTTTTCTCTCACCTGGACTTTGGAGACAATCCTCAGGGATAAAAACACATTTGTTTTGGACAGAAACATTAATAAGCTGGTCTAAAAGACCAAGGACGCCGGCAGTGATTCAGGAAGGTCCTTGGGCACCTGCCTACATCTCTGCGAGCATCCGAGGGGATCGGACACAGCTCAAGGACTCAGCTGACTCAGTGCTCACACTGTCCCCTCCTGAGCAAGGGAACGAGGAGTTTGTGCAGAAGATGGTGAAATTAACTCAGACCTTGAAAAGAGAAAACTTGCAGCTAAGCTAAAAAGCAACTTCCTGACATCCCCAGCTGCTGCATCAGGAGCCTTTTGCTTCTGCAGCCCAACCAGTCCGGGTCAGGAGAGCAACATCTGTGCGGGTTTCCAGGTGGGAAAGCAAGATTGAGCTCAACACCACCCCACTGCCAGCACGAATACGAACAGGTTAATAATCTTCAGGTGCTCTACGAATGGGATAAGTGTCCTCTGCAGGACACCGTGGTGAAGACACAGAGGAAGAGAACTGTAAGCACTAGAAAAGCCCACAAACATGGGGCTCAGCCCTGTGAGGCTCCCGAGGCTTGAAGCATCACCGAAACACAGAATTTTAAGGGTTGGAAGGGACCTGGAAAGACCATCTAAGTCCAACTACCCAAGTTATCTCTGTGAACAAGCCCCCAGAGGCACAAGGTTTGCTGACGGTGATTTTAGCTGGGTCCTTGTCTCCTGCAAGAGGAGCCGCAGTTGCCGGAGGTGCCCACAGAAAGGCTCTGTCCTCTTTTGTGGCTCTTTACTGCACTGCTCCAGCATCCAAAAGAGGATGCTCTCCAGCAAGAGAGCAGCCTCACGCCCAGGCACAAGGAAGGAGGGTAGTGAGGAGGAGACAGTGTCCCAGGGAGCAGCACGAATCAAGCAGAGCCAAGTGGGAAAAACTTGGCGGGGAGGACAGAGTGAGAACACTCTTCATGCTGAGAAGCCTCTGTGTGTGCAGTAAATAAACCCAGCTGCTTCAGAACCTCAGTCCTGCGGGGAAAAACAACTTTTTTACAAATCCGAATGCTCCTGGTTGCCACGGAGAGTATGAGGATGCTCTCATCAGAGAGCGCAGGATCAGAATAACCATGTCACAGCCCTTGCTCCCTCCGAAACGCCCGGCAAAGTCCCCTCTCCCGGCTGGCGGTTGCGAAGTAGGTCACTGTGTCGAGGAGACAAAACAAGGCTGTGATCATTGCCAACAGCTGGCAGATTAAAATGGAAGGGATTAATTAAAATGGATTAAGAGCAGATGCTGGTCTGAGGAGGATGGAAAAACCATCAGAGGCAGCTGGGTTTCCACAAGTCGGGAAGAGGAGAAGTGGGCAGCGGGATGAGAGGAGGACTCAGGAAGCCAGAGGAAGACTCTGGGGCAAGACCAAGCTGGGGCTGGAGGCAGGGGAAGGCAACGAATCACGTTTCCTATCGACAGCCCAAGCTGAGGCTTGGCAGGACTGAAACGCCAGGAGTTTTGGGTTTGTTCAAACCTCCACTTCCGAGTCCACGACAAGCAGCAGCTGTTTGGCAGCGAGTGGCCCCAACACAGGCTATTTTTAAGCACGGCTCCGGCACGCACGCCAAGCCGGCATCTCTCGAGTCCCTTGCAACACCCCACACAAACGCCCGGAGCCAATCCCAGCAGCTCGGAGCCACACAAGCAAATCAGGAGCCCAAACACCACAGAAAACTCGTGTCTGTCTTTTTTCTTTCTTGTTTGGCTCTATCAAAATCAAACCTAGTCTGTCTGACGCCGACCCAAGGAAAACAACCACTCGGATCGACAGAAGGAGCCGTTCAAGACAATGAGCAAGATGTCTTACAAAGTGACAAGACACACGTATTAGAAGTCCAGCCTGGTTATTCTAAGAAATAGCCATGGCACCCTCCTGCCCTCCATGAGGGCTGGGCAACAAGTTTCATTCCCCTCCAGGAAAAAGAGGTCCCCTCTCGAGTCCCTTGCAACACGAGACCAAGCTGGATGACCTCCACGAGACCAAGCAGGTGGCTGGAGGCCAAGAAGAGAACCGGCTGCTTCAATGAGAATCTTTGTGCAAGATCTGTCTTGAGATTACCCCCGGCCTAGACAAGATTGTCTCAAAACAACTCTTGTGAGAGCCATCCCCTTTCCAAAGGTGCAGCCTGATGTGGGAAGCACTGGCAGGCAGCTGGGCTTCGAGGCACAGTGCTGACCATGGGCTGAAGCACCAGAAGAAGAACTCCAGTTCAGTTTCTAGAAAGAAGAGAGCAGAGCAAATCCCACGAGAGGCTCCAATTACCTGGATCACAGCCTCGGGGAAGAATATCTAGGAAACATTTCACTAAGGGAAGCTTCACACTTCCATTTAAAGAAATGAGACGGTGACATTAAGCTCGTATCTTCAGACAAGAAGCTCATATTCATCAGCACTGGAGAAATCATTCAGTCATCAACCACCGAGGGAAAATTTTTTCACCTTCCTGGCAGCCCAGGCTAACGTAAATGCCACGAGCGTTTGAAAGCTGCCAGAGGAAAAACACACCAGGACCCATCAGCGAAAATAGCAAAGGTGCTCTTAATTCAGTTGTTTAAAGAGTTTCTTCTTTGGCCAAGGCTACATAACCAGCCTGGAAGCTTTCCCCAAGGGTTTTACACGTCCCAGCTCCCCGTGCAGCCTCCCAGTGCCCTCGCTACGATGCCCATAAAAGCTCAGGAAGTGCAAGGCGGGAAGGAAAGCTAAGCGGAGAAAAATGCGTTGGATTCAAGGGGCAGGGAGAGAAAATGCCCACGGAGATGCCGACCACGTTGTGGCTACGCGGGTAGCGTGGGTGCTGCAGAAAGTGGCATCAGGTGAAAGTGGGAGGGACAGGCTTTTGGCCAAAAGACCCTGCAGGAACAGGACATTCCGTGCTCCTGGGGTGTTTTCTGAGGGTCACAGCTTTCAGCTCTTTAAACGGCACCGGGCACAGCTACAGAGAGGCACACGTTTACTCTGCTTGTCCTCCGGGCTGCTCGGATACAATCCAGACCTGACCCTGCGTCACGGCAGTAGCGTGACGTACGCTCCGGCTCGGCAGGGGGGGTTTCGCGCCCAGGATGGCTCGTTTCTGGGCAGCTGCGGAGATGACGGCAAAGAATATCCAGCTCTGAGCTTTTCTACACGGAATGCAGAGCCCACACCTGGGCTGAAACATCGAACTGGGTGTCAGCTGTGTTTATAGATGATCTGGGACTTTCTAGACCCGAAAAACTCACTGGTTAATATGGACCAGCTTCTTTGGACCCAGAACTCTTCCCTGTGTTCTTCCTGAGGAGGGTTTGGGCGTATGCCTGCACATTTGGGAGCTAGCGGGGGGGATCTTTCTGAGATACACAACTAAACCAACAACTGGCCCCAGCAGCTGAAGGATGAACTCACAGCCTGCTGTAAAAGGCTGTAGTAACTTAGGTGTAAAGCAGGTTTCTCCCACGAAGCTGGTTTATTAAATGGTTTATTAAAAAAAACCTCGCCAAGCAGCCTAGATCCTTTCCAGGGACACACTCGATACAGAGATCCTCGATCATCTATATGACAGAGGCCAATCCAGCCACTCAGCAGTGACAAAATCCCAGGAAGTTTCGACATAGAGGGAGCCAAAACTTCCCTCCTGTTTACAAGAGCCTCCACTGGTGGAGGGAAAGAAGAACCCAAGATCAGACTCGTTCCAACGGAATCTCGAACGAGTCTCCTGCGAAACAGAGAGGATGTTTTCAGGTTTGCAACTCACGCCTTTACCACATCTCCTGGTCGGTCTAACCGGCTGTATCCTCACCTCCGCGGTGACCGAAATACCAACGGAGCAGAGCTCTGGACAGAACCCGGTTCTTCCAGCTCAGCGAGGCCTCACGGTGTTTAGAAACGCTCAAAAACCCACAACGTCAACCCCACAAGCCCTTGCAGCGACGCGGGTTACTCGCAAACGACGCGGCGCCGCTCTTACGTGATGTATTTGTTGTAGAGGATAAAAGCACGCTCAGTGTTGCCTTCCTCCGAGTAAACGGCAGCCATGCGGAGGATTTCCACTCCGGAGCGGTAGTAGCGGCG